CTGAGGCCTGCTGGACAGCAGAGGGGGCACGGGCTCTGCTGGCACCCTGGCCTGCCTCCACCTGCTCAATGCACTGCTGACCCTGACCCTCCCACCCCAAACTCGGGCCCTCCGGTCTGTCCCACGAGAAATCGAGGCCTGGAGAGCCCGTCCATCCCATGTGGTGTGTGTCACACCCGTGTCCAGGTGTGTACACTGCTCCCTCCCTCCTACAGCCCCTCCGCCTTTCCCACCTGGCCTTACCCCTCCTCCAGGGAGGGAAACCTGGCAGGCCTTCTCTATCCTGAAGGGGTGAGCCCACCAGCAGCTCCCTGTGCCCCTCCTCAGAGATACCAGCATGGCCTCCCACTGCCCCATCTGCACTGGCCCCGGCCCCAGGCTAGCCCATCCCGTTCGTCCCCTTCTTTTTCTCAGCTGTGCAGGGTTGAGCTCCTGCTAGGCAAGCCCTCTGTCCCTCAGCCACACCCAGTCCCAGCCCCCTTCTTTCCTAGAGCTGGTTTCAGCCTTCCAGAACCTTCCCTCCCAGGCATCCCTGTCACTTCTGTCCCGTCCCGGTGCTTCCATGTTTTCTTCTGGGACTTTCTCCATGACCAGCCTGTCTCCATCCAAAGCCTCTCAAATTCCCGGGCCCTGCACCCCACTGAGGGGCGCCTTGGCTGCTTCCCGCTGAGCCCCTCACCAGCCGGAGGCATCAGCACCTTCCTGTTCACACCCTCCTGCCACCTGCTGACACAGCCGCAGCTCCATCCTGTCCTGCGTTGGGCATGAGCAGCCCCGCCCCCCAGCAGCCACCCCGAAGCTGGCCAAGACCCCCACCCAGACAGTGCCCATTCCCAGCGATGCCAGACACAGACCTGGTTTACTGAGCCCAGCACTGCAGCACCTGTGCCAGTGCCCAGAGCGCTCCCCTGGAGACTGCAGTGATGGTGCCACCCAAGCCCCTTCCTCCAGCAGCGACGCTGCCTTCGGGAGGTGCAGGCTGGTAGCTCCCCGCCTCTTGCAGCCTGCTGGGGAGGGTGCTCTGCACCAACAGACCCACCGCTGAAAAACACCCCACTTCAGGGTAGACAGGTCCGGATACCAGGATTGCAACAGCCATGGGAGAGACGCGGGTCTTCCCCAGCAGCAGCCCTCCACCCCCGCCCACCCTGCTCCTGGGTCCCGGCAAGCTGCAGGGCCGCTGGGTCCTCCTGCCCGACAGACCACATCCCAGGCTCCAGGGGACCTTCTTTCCCGTCTTTGCCCCTCTCCCCCAGGAAGCCGGCACCCAGGACAGGCACTGTGGCAGGGCTGCACCTGAGCCCCGAATGGCTCGGCAGGAGGTGGCCTCGGACCCACGCAGGGACATCTAACATCTCTGCACCCCACTCACGCATCAACAGCACCCGAAAGGCAAGCCTCGGCT